GCAAATAAATTCCAGTATAATAAGTTATTTTTCCTAATTTAATTCCGAGTCGCTGCTGCACTAGTAAAATGGTAAGTAGCCCCTACGGCAAGCGTTTGTATTTTCCACGTCGGACCCCATTCCTCCTACTTCAACATATAAACTATAAAACAGGCCCATTACTTGAGGCAGTCTGAATATTCACGTGAATAATGGGAATGTTGCGAGGAGTCTCTGCTGTGTTATTAATTCGGAAGAACGAGCTGGCTGATTGTTAATGCATATCTCTACACAGTAGCATGTATAATATAAGAAATATTCAGAAGACTTATAATTATATATTTGAAATTACAATGATTAAGATAGGAAATAAAAACACGCAGAATATATCGTGGTCGTATTGTATTATTCATGAATTCATTGACAGATGAATTATTGAGTGCCTATGGTGTGGGTATATTTTGATTGTATCGCGAAAGGACTGCCCCTAATAAATTCTAATAGATTTATTAGTCTCATTGTTCCATATATAAAATAAACCGGACAAAGATTGCCACAGATAAAAATTTCATACCGGAGCGGACCTACCAGACTGTTGTTAACTACTGAACTAGACTTTTTCCATTTTGCTACGTCTTGTTTCTATACTTTTAAAGTTTAAAAATATCAACTTTTTCATACCAAGATTTCACATTAATTTTTTTTTATTTTTTTATTTATTCTTTATAACAAACTGCAATGTCAACTCTAAAAAAACATTTAATAGTTCCTTATAATCCATACATTAAACAGTGTCTCAGTAAATTGATAAAGTTCTTTCTTAAAATACTTAAAAATTTGTATACAAAAGTCATAAATATTACTAACCTACCTACTGCTACTGCATCACTTAAATATTACATGTTTGTAATTAAAAAGTATTTTTGTCAACAAAATCAAGTTAAAAAACTAAGCAATTAAAGTTGAATTTTTTTTTAAAACATCACTTCAGTTACATCAGAATAAAATATAAAAATATGAGGTGTTTGTTTCGTTTAAAAACTGGCCCACTTTTGATACACTTTAGGCGAAACAGTAAGTCAGTAATGACTTTTGTAAACAAATTCTTAAATATTTAAACATTGAAAGATCAATAACAAACTTCACCAACTTGATCGGACAGCTTTTATTCCAGGAGAGTAAAGATATACATTAAATTTACAGAATTTAATTTTTTTATCACAGGTATCTTCAGTCAGTTTTGAGTTTGTAACCAAACGTTTTTGCTTAAAAAAATTTCGTTTTCAAAATACGATCACATTTTTGTATAACTTTAATTTATATTAATTATCATTTTCTGAAGGAAAATGATTAAAAAAAACCGCTTAGTTCTATACTTTATATTTACCCTGTATAAATGAAAATGTTACATTTTTTATCTAATACATTACATTGATAGGAAGTTTACTTAATAACATTCTTTTTTCAAAATTCTGGATTGTAGGAAAAAATAGGCCAGCAATTACTCGGCAATTACAAACCAAGCTACAAAAATCGCTTTTACTCCGAATAAAACATATTGTTGTTTCTTCAAATCTTGCAAATTGAATAAAAACTTGTTATTGCTGTTTATTAATTACCTATTAAAAAATGTGCCGCAATAGTAATATATATTCAAAAACGAATAACGTTTCATTTCAATAATAAAATTTTAAATACTTTACATTCAAAAAAGCAAACTAAATTAATTTGGTATTCAAGAATTTTGTAATTTTTCTTCAATATTTTTGCTATGTCTTTTATTAAAATTGATTTTATTTTATAAATTACTTATACTTATAATAAATAAACAAGTTTGGTAAAAGAGAGTAATTTTTTTGATTTGACGTTTAAAGGTTTAAACGCCACTTACTTCCGGCATAGAAAAATAATAACCATAGTTTATTACAAACCGAAGTGAAATTAATTGTTCACATTTTGAAATATTTATTTATTCGGAAACGTCACAAATATTCAATCAAATATTGCTTCATATTTATTAATAACCCTGTATAAGGTAACTTAGCCGAATAAAGCCCACTTAATTTTTACGATTTTTTATATATTTTTTAAAATATGGGATTTAGATTTGGATTTATTATTGAAATTGTAATTTGAAGTTTTGTTTAACAATGTGTACTACAAAAATCCCTGGTTTTGTTAATTTTACTACATGTTTTTAACATATTACAAAGGGCTGATTTTGGAACCTCCTAGCCCCAAACAAAACCCACCGTGGACAAAAAATAAGGTCCATATTTAAAATTTGGGACATGATTTTTCAGTAATCGTATTAACAGTGTGTTAAGAAAAATCTTTAATAAACAAAAAAAATAACATAAAAAATACAGAAAAAATAAAGAAACTTCAAAACATGTACCTATGTGTACCGTGCGATCATAAAGAAAAATAAATTAGAGTAGGCGTCGTTGATGTTAAAAATCAGGATTGCCATCTGAAGGGCTTTAATCACCGCCTACTGTAATTTATTTTGTTCTAATATGTAATTGGGATTATGTTAACATCCAACACGTATGAGCATCAGTTTAGAACATACCGTATTTGAGAGTATGATAGATTATAGATGGTTGGAGGTCCAACGCAGGTTAGGTAGGTAGTTTTAATTTTCTTCACAATTCAGACGGTGGATCTAATTTGGCTTAGTTCTGGCTCACCCTGTATTATTTGAAGAAAAATTAAAAATAACATTCAGCTTCGCCACATAAACTATTATATTACTTTTACTCCTAATAACATATTATACTGTTATTAATTCAGGCAAAAATGAAGCAACGAGAAAAATTTTATGTATTATACCTCGAAAACATATTTTTCTAACATTTAAGATCATTTATGCGTTTAAAATTATGACAAGACACAATCTTTTCTTGTTTGTTTTTAGCAATTTTTAAATGCCTAAAACGATTAGCTATTAGGTTTTGTAAGTATGTGTTTTTTAATTTTTCTTTAAGTATTCGTATGTATCATAAAAAATGCACCTTAAGATTCAAAATGTAATATTTAAAAAAATCGTATTTTCTTTATAAGAAAATTATTGAATCAGATTCATTTCAGAAAAATTACTATACCTAATGTGGTACCATCAACTATTGTTGTTACCAAAGTATAAAAAAATGTTTGTCTTCTAAGCTAGTTAAAACTTATATTTTTATTAATACCCACATAGGTATTTTAATTTTATTTTCACATTTCATACCACAATTCACAGTGATTAATCAATTTTGTGTCCTCTTATTTTACAAAACCACTTCATACATATTAATAGAAGAAACATAAGAAAAGTCGCTATAAAAACAACGTTAACTTCACTTCCTGCAAAACTTTAATGAACATTCCTGAACAAAATCTATTCCACAAGTTCTTAACTTCTTATTATTCACGAAACTAAAAATCTCAAATTTTTTATACAAATGAATTTATAAACATTGGTCAGTGTTCCAGCACCAATCAATGGACCACCACTCCCTGTCCTTGTCACTCTAATTGCACACTTCAAAGTAACGCGGCCACAGCTCCTAGTCACTAATTACCGTTCCATAATTAGATGGTAGCAGTGTTTATAGCTATTTGCAAGCGGCGATTTTTACTAAACCACCATAACACCTTTCCATAAGCAAAAGATCCAATCTCGTATTCCCATTACAACAGCATGATTTATGTATGCGATAAAAGGCGACATATTTTTCTATTGTGCGTCGGTAATTTTTTTCGTGCCAAGATAATCTCTGACGTCTCTATGCTTGATTTTCAAACATCATGTGAGTGGTACCCGTGGTACCGCCCATACCTCCGGCGATGTGGTAGAGACGGCCATGTTATCGGGGCCGTAGGGGCCCCAACCGGTCTTACATTTACTTTTGCATCGTAAACAGCAACTGCTGTTCACTTGCCGACGCTGTGTGGGGAAAAAAACACACACAACTGTTCGAATCGTATCATTAAGAACAGTGGAATTGCGGATTTTTTTGCTTCTGCCTTGCGTGAACAATTTTTTGATTTCGACGACTGGATTTTCTTGCATATGGTGCAGGAGGGTAAAGATAGCATGTGCTAAGATAATGACACCCTTTTGAGACCCTGAACTACTTGCACTCCCCTAAAGAATAATATTACAGAGGTTTATGACACAATGAATTGACTTCAAACTTATCACATCTACAGAAATTTTATTTTTAAACACAAATATACTTTTAACGACGCTGTTAGATATCTCTTCACTCTAGTCAATTAACCATTACCATAAACAAGTTGTAAACATAAATGACAGTTATTATAACTTAGGTAAACAAATCTATTTTTTTACTACGTAGTAAAGATAAGAAATTTTGTTGTAACAAAGAAATAAGTCGAAGGCACTTCTCTCTAACAAAAGCCCATTCAAGTTTCCTATTCAAAGAGTCATTTCATTAATAAATACGTTTAACTTAAGCTAACGTACTTGAACTTTAATGAAGGTTACTTTTTGCTCATTGCGTTGTGTAGGTGTATACTCTTTTTCATATTAATGTGCATCAAGTAGGTAAATGCATCTTTAAATTAGAGGCCGATTCACACAAAAATGTCATTATTATTCAGAACAAACACATTTATTTGAGAAAATAATTTTTAGGGAAGATTGAGGTTGGAATTGTTTGAATTTTTGCATGGTTGCCACCGTAAAATGATCCCTTTCAATGCACATTAATGTGAAAACGATTATAGAATTATTCTTGTTGAAAATCCCACTTTAATACTGACTTGACACATAACTTTCCATCTAGTAGGCAACTGAAAAACTAAGAATTAGAGCACTTGCTCAAATACTAATAATACTACTGCAACTATTTCAATCATTTGACACAAAACACAAATAAAATTATGTCTTACACATTCTCTATGATATTATTCAATAAAATAAATAAAAATGTTGGGTTACAGATTCCCTTAATACGTAGTTTTAGAAAAATGTTAAAACCCACGTCAGAGGGCGACACAGTGTTTGATAACTGTCAAATGTGAATTTTAAAACTAACCAAACAAACATCGATTTTTAAAGTAGAAAATATGTTTTCCACAAGTACACAGTCTAAAAATTGGATGTTTAACAGTGAAGACGACTTGAATAAGTTGCGGGAAAAAGCAAACCTTAAACACATACTGACTTACGGCGGCCACATCAACGTAAGTTTTTTGTGACTGTTTTTCGTTTCCTGATCTTTATTTTTTAGGAAGCCACTCGTTACGAGTTTTTTCTTACTGCTGAAGAGGAAAAGATAATGGTGAAACGTTACGAAATTCGATTACGCGATTTTTGTAAAAGATTTCAACCTCCTATGACTAGATGTGTGATTGGGACTGCATTTCATTATTTTAAGCGTTTCTACATTCACAATTCGGTAATGAATCATCATCCTAAAGAAATAATGTAAGATGAAGACTTGTTTATTGTTTTATGATTGAGTATTTAATTTATTAAGGGTGACTTGTATATATTTAGCTTGCAAAGTTGAAGAGTTCAATGTTTCTATTCAACAGTTTGTTGCAAATCTTAAAGGGGACAGAGAGAAGGCTACTGATATTATTTTGAACAATGAGTTGTTGTTGATGGAGCAACTGAATTTTCAGTTGTCGATTCATAATCCTTTTAGGCCAGTGGAGGGCCTACTTATTGATATTAAAGTTGGTAGTACTATTCTGGAATGTTATTTTTACTCAAATCATGTTTTTAGACTAGATGTACACTAAACGATCCAGAAAGGTTAAGGCCTGGAACAGAACATTTCCTAGAAAGAGCATTTTTAACAGACGTTGTATTATTATATTCTCCTAGTCAAGTAGCGTTAGCTGCGGTTCTTCATGCAGCCTCAAAATTGCAAGAAAATTTGGATTCTTACGTAACTGATACGTTATTTGGAGTTGAAGGAAGTGGCAAATTGGCTGAACTAATTGAAGCTGTGAGAGCTATCAGATCTATTGTTAAAATGGTCGATGCCACACCTGATAAAAATCAACAGAAACTTTTAGATAAAAAGTTAGAGAAATGTAGGAATCCTGAAAATAATCCGGACAGTGAAATGTACATTTTCCTCAATTGTTTGTTTATTTGTGGCTCATTTTTATGTTTCAGATATAAGAAAAAGATGCAAGCTTTACTTGACGAAGATGATGATTTATATCATCGCATTTCTACGAGAACTGATTCGTTAGATAATTCTGCGTTAGGAATGTCTGTCTCTGGTTCACCTGAAGAAGCATAATATTGTGTAGGTACTTTCATTTAATTTTGAGAATAAAATTATTTCTAATATAATTTTTATGATCTTGTTACACCTACGCAATCATTTATTTAAATTATTCAAGGATGGTTATAACATAAACATTTATTTTCTTGGTACAAAATGACTTAACAAAGCAGATAATAAAATATTTGGTTAGTAAATAGAGTTATTACTTATTTTAAGTCTAACTAATTCAAGAATTTTCAAAATGTCTGCCGAAATTTTGTAGTTGCATCATTGGTGAATTTTCAGTCTGGTGGTGTTCTGGAAAACTAACGTAGTTTGGAACACACTGCCTAGAAACGTGTGACACCATAGATGTCGTGGGGGGTGGTGGTAACATGTTGGGTACCACTGATGGTACACTGGAAAGTCCGGGTTGTCCAGGGTAATTGAAAAACCTGAAAAGTTATTATTACATTTTTTTAACGCTGTTTTTTTTTTAACGTAATAGTATATTACATAACGAGCACAAGCGGGAAAGTTGCGCACGAGGCGTTAGCTGAGTGCAGGCAATCCCGCGAGTGCGTTAAACACTTTCCTGCAAGTTTTGTAAAGTCTGTTTTTTTTTTAATGGAAATTACCAAGTCAAAATTTTGGTGAAAAAATTGGTAGCAGTTTGTCTCCATAGCCACAAATTTTGTTTGCTCTTTGTTTTTGTCCCTAGAAATTTTGTTAAAAAATTATGGTTCAAATTGAGATGCCAAAATTTTGACTTTTATGAATCTTGTGTGCCTGTTTGCTCTTTGAAAGCGCTATAATTGAATACATGAGGACAGACATCATTACCTAAGGTCTAAAGACAGAATTCAGTGCTAATAATTTTGATAGAAATACACCGCAAGGTAAGCACAATGTTGTGGACAAAAATGAGGTTCTTGCTACAAAAACTTTGAAGAAAAAGGATGTTTATACAGAGAAAAGTTATTTAGCAAAAGATACAAGTGGGTATTATGATGATCGGCAATAAATTTTGGGTAATTTATTGAAATGAGTTCAAAGTTGATGCATTTTATAAATTCTTCTTCAGCTTTAGTTTCAAAATTGTTACTTTTTCAACTCGTTCCTCAAAAACGATGCACAAGACACTAATTTAATTGCGTTCTTTCCGAGGTTCTTTCTCATTCATGTTTATTTTGTATTCTTGTCAATTTCTTCCTAAAAATTGAGAATGTTTAGCAAACCTGCATTACAAATTGCGTCTACATTTTAACGGGCCCTTTTTCTAACTTCCTGCTTGCGAACTATTCGTTTACAAATTTTGAAAAACTGTTAGTGTACCGAATTTATTTCTTTTTTGGTGTTTCGTCTCTAAATTTTCTTAGACGATTTTTTGTGTTGACGTTTAATGACATTGTTTTCAAATTAATTCTAAAAACCGGAACTGCCAACTTCCTTTATTAAAATTACCATGAATGAATTTACTAGTGCCAGCGTTAGGACTGCTTGGCATTTCCATTAAAAAAAACAGACTTTACACTATTTTTCCTACGACCATAAATAATTTTTTTCTTACGAACATATTTTTTTTCATAACGATTTATTTTTTATAATGGATACAAAAATACGTTGAATAACGATTTATTTTTTATAATGGATACAAAAAAAATACGTTAAATGAAAAAATACAAAACATTCGAGTGTGAATTGTGCGTTAGATTTCTAACACACTGTGCGAAAACAAATCGCACAGGTTTTCGACCTCGTACGATATTGCCAATTTTCGCGCATATGTAATTGTGCGTTATGATCTAGTTTCGTATATGGTCATAGGAAAAGAAAAAAAGGGTAAACATATTCAACTAAGCCTTCAATTTTTACCATAATCTGTCTCCTAAAAAAATAGGTCTTGGTGTGAGAATCCCCATCGAAGTGTAATATTGCTGCGCTAGAAGCTCAACATCATTCGTATATTTCCTTTTCCATTTGGTTCTCCTATTCTGGAACCAGATCTTGATTTGCGTCTCCGTTAATTTGAGACTTTTGGAGAGTTGACACCTTTTAGCCACCGATAAATACTTGTTTCGTTCAAATTCAGCCTCCAAAGATTTAATTTGCGATGCCGTGAATGCCGTCCTCGGTCTCTTCTTCCTCTCCTCGTCCGATCTGTTGTCAAGAGCGTCTGCGGAAAAGATAGAATCGTAAAGTGTCATACAAAAGCTAAGCGAATCCAACACCAAACAGTTGTTTTTAATTTGCCGTGGCGAAATTTATGTTTTAAATGTCGAGTGGGAAGTGCAGACACGTTAAGAAGACGCTAATTTGCGCCAGAGACAGAATTAGATTTTAAACAGCTAACGATCTAGAAAGCGTTGAAAAATGACACGAAAAAACAAACACACCGCTATCTCGCGGCTATATATTATGAGGAAACATGACTGGTTGCCTTAAATATTGGCTGATTTAAGGAGGGTTTCGTGTGCGACGATTAGAGGCGCGTTAGTGACATTAATTTCTGTTATAAACGACATTTAAGAATTCTTTGGTACTAAATTAAATTTACCAGGACTGCGGGATGTTTTAAATAAATTTATGACAGTTGCTGCAGTATTTACAGCGGTTTAATTAGCCTGGCAGTGTTACATTTTCTGAAACCACATTGTTTGATTATTACAAATTTCGACAAAATAAATTTCAACGTTACAAATTTCAGGAAGAAACTTTAAATGTTGAAATAGTTAACTATTCATACACAAAAGTCATAGATTTTTTTCGAGTAGGTTATACAGGCTGTTTCAAAAATGAATAACAATAAAAACTTATCTTTTTAATTAAATTTCATAAGTTGGGCGTACTTACAGCTTTTTCAAGACAGCAAAACTTTTCACAAGTTTTGATTTCGGTTGATTTAGTGATAGGTACTGTTTAAAGTGGTCTGAGATTGTGAAAATAAGTTAGCAACATCGAATCAGTGGCGTACTGAGCAGGGTTCCGCGGAACACGGGCCCGCACGGGCCCTTTTCGTTGAGTAGTAGCAAATTACAAATTTAAAAAGTCAAAAATTAATTTTTTTATAATAGTTGTTGAAGTTAGGTTGTGATGACTAAAAAATTGTTGTCTGCTTAAGCTCATAGATATAGAGTATAGACAATATTAATATAGATCAAAGCAGAATTAAATTCTCCTTCATTTAATGAATAAGAATTTGGAGCGTTTTATTTAGAAAAATTAGTACCTATTAGTATTTGACTTTCCCCAAAAGGTAATGTTAAATTTTAAGGGTTAATCAATTTTTAATTATGAATCCACCAAAACAAAGATCGATCCTTTCTCCTTTAAATGCCAAAATACGAGTACTATTCCATAATAGTTAAAAATTGAAATTTTTAAAGAGGAAGGTTCAAAGTCAAAAAATTTCTGTTAAACTCATATCTCGGGGAATCCAAAAACGCAATAAAAAACATAGCTTTCTCTTTAAAATAACGGTTAATACTCACTTCCGATATAACCGGAAGTGCTTGAAAAATATTTTCATTAAGCAGGACCTAACTGATTATGGCTAGGTACAAATTTTTAGACAAATATCATTATCAATATATTGGAATAGGGATACCTATTAATTTCTTTATATTCTTTTTAAATTTTAGTACACAGGGTGCACCAGAACTCGCGCCCCAGAGAAAAATGTCAAGTGCCAGTGGCAATAGATTGCCAAAAAGTGCAGCCAAAGAAGTAATTTTTGCTTGCATAAGAAAGTTATTCGACTCTTAAATCCACCAATCCCATAAGGGCACTTCAAGGTGTGATTGAAAAATTATATCCTTTGCTAGGTTACAAAAATAATACCAATTTGCCCAGAACATTTAATAAATAGCTGGTCTACTGTAATTTTTACATTTATTTTATTAATTTTCTGTCATGTGGGTGACATAACCTACTAGTTTCTAGTATTTTTCTCGAATTTTTCTCCCTGAAGAGGTTGTACACGAGTATAATGAGACAGAATCGTACAAGAAGAATAATCTTGCATTTAATAATTTAATAAAATAATTATTAGAAATTATTTTGAAAACTCGATTCCCAAACATTCTGGAAATTCCTGATGAACCGATTTCTCTAAAACTTCTTCACAGGTATTGTTCTTTTTTTAACTTTTTTTTCGATCTGATACAGATTAACTTGCCAATGTATGAATTTTAGAGCGTGAAAACTAATGCATTATCCTTTTGAAATAAAGAAGCAAGTGAGAGTGAGAGTCCAGAAAAACATGAAGAAGTACGCAAGTTTCTTTATTTACTTTAATGCAAAATTAACAGAAAGATGTACTTTTTATAAGAAATTGTGCTTAAATAAAACAGGTTACTAATTTTAATATCAAAATTGTAGTTTTACCTTGGTATTTCGCAAATTACAATTTATTATTGTTTTCTTCCACTCATATGAGCTTACTATAACCCCTTGGTTGTTTTTTCATTAAAAAATCAAGAAAAATGTTGCGATGTTTGTATTTATTACGAAAAATTATCATTTTTGCTGCCGGAAATTTCATTGATTTCAATGACTACTTAAGTAAAATCCAAATGTTTTAATTCCGAGGGCATTTCAGCAACGCTTTTCGGTGAATTTTTGGGCTGGTCTTTTGAGGAATCATGTGGTTTGTCAAAAATATCAACTATAATTTCAACATAACGTGACTCCCTTTCTAAAAAGTACATTTTTCTGTTAATTTTGCATTAAAGTAAATAAAGGAACTTGCGTACTTCTTTATTCTTTTCTGGTCTGTCACTCTCACTTGCGTCTAGGTTTTCAAGCTCTAAAATTTATACATCGACTTATTAATCTGTATCAGATCGAAGAAAAAATTGAGAGGGAACAATATTTGTAAAGAAGTTCTAGAGAAGTCGGTTCATCGGAAATTTCCAGAATGTTTGGGAATCGAGTTTTCAAAATAATTTTTGATAATTGTTGCTAATAATTAATGATTTTGTCTCATATTCGTGTACAATCTCTTGAGCTAAAAAAATACTAGAAACTAGCAGGTTATGTCACCCACATGACAAGTGTCAAAATTATAGTAGACCACCTAGCCCAGTTCTGGGCAAATTGGTATTATTTTTGTAACGTAGCAACGGATATAATTTTTCAATTACACCTTGAGGTGCCCTTCTGGGATTGGTGGATTTAAGAGTCTAGTAACTTTCTTATGCAAGCAAAAATTACTTCTTCGGCTTCACTTTTTGGCGATCTATTGCCGCTGGCACTTGACAATTTTCTCTTGGGCGCGAGTTCTGGTGCACCCTGTATTATTATACATATCATTTTACAAGTTATTATTCTTATATATTTTTTTGATAAATTTATAAAAACAATTATTGATTTTAATACTGTTATGGTGGGTGTGGGAAGGGGGGCCGTGGAGCTACGATTTTTTTAGGGTACTGAATGAACTGTTGAGAAATCGGCTCACTATATGTCACTGCATCGAATAATAAATAGGCGGACGATGTAATAAGACTTGTCAATTTTTATACAATGGCATTTGTTGTTGAGTATCTAAAAATTTTCATTGCTTGATGAATTTGTATTTGGTCATAGTGGGGCACTAAATAATTTAGATATCTACTACAAAACACTTTTATTTCTTAGTGTTTGTTTACAATACAGAATCAATGCAGTTATAAGAAAATTTTGTTTGAATTGAGTTTCTCTTCTACTCGTAAAGTTCTGAATTTCAAAATTTAACAATTTTTGGTATTTGCAGGAACATTCTCTTATATATCTTTTTATTTAGAACTGTTTTACTATTTTTAAGATATGTATTCTTTTTCATAAAAAGATATTACATACACTTGTAAAATAAGGAAAATCCTTCAAGTAATATCAATTAAAATATGCTTTTCGCGCAATGGTAGGTACATTCGTTTCGAATTAATGTGTGTATTTTTTTAATAAAATTAAATAATGTCCTTGTGACAAAAATTATTCATTTTCTTTATAATATAGGGTGATTGATTCAAAAGTCTCCGACTATCTCTTGGGTGCGGTGATGAAGGACGTCCAACTGAGTTAAAATTTCCCATGACAAAAAATTAGTTGAGCCTTTTTTCACGAGATTTAGCTTTTCAAAGGTTAGCTCTTTGGGTTAAGTTTTTGGCCGTTCAGATCATGCATTCTTGAATTTCGTTAGCGGAAACAGAAGATCTTGCAAGATTAAACAGATACCTGTTGAAAAAATTTAACAAACTAGCAAATTCAACAATAAATTAAATCCGACAATATCAGATGATAAAATATAGAAACTGTCAGTTCTGTTTTTTCTCAGAAAATAAAGTTTGAACAAATCTACATTCATTTTATGCTTAGCTGAAAGTCTTCTACCACCATTCGAGAGTTGGTCCGACACTTTTGGATCACTCAAAAAAAATTGAAACTACTTGGGTAAATATTATTTTAATAATTTACTTGGTATTTCCTTCCTTTTATAATATTGTTACGTTTAATAAAGCTAAATATTCATATGCGTCATTTGGAATCATTTGACTGCCGTAACAACGAGCATCCTATAATTTAAGTTATCTCCTGAAAGATTTCCTGCCGACTAATTGCCGGTACATGACACCGCTGTCTAAACAGAGATTAATATCTTAACTCCCGAAATAATTGTCCAACTGATGCCGCCTCTCCAACTTACTGTGCAGATGGTTAGTAGTTGCCACTGCACCGCTCCTGTTAATTTAGAACTTTAGACAAACAAAGAAAAATAATATCGAAACACTTGAATTGATTGATTCTCTTCATATGCATGTAAATAATCGAATCGTTTAAAAGCTTGAAGATTTAAATATCAGTGTCTACTGCTGCCAAGACCGAGCGATTGTAACTAGCGTATTATTGCAAATGGACTTGAAATAGCTGCGGAAATCGGTTTCTAGGAGAGGGGTGATGAGAGGTGTTTAGTAATTAGACAGCGTTTAGTGTCACTTTGTCTTTTAAAACACTCGCTGTCAATTAGGCGTTGATGTATGGCCGCACGTACACATGTATATCATTCAGTGGAAGACTGCTGGTAAAGGATGTGTAAGAAGGCATGCCAAGACTCAAAGTCGGATATCCCAAGCATTTTCAAATTTGTCTACGAGTTTAAGTATTTTTAATTTGGGGACGGTGAAACGGTTTCTTGGT